GGGTCATGGAAGTTGGAAGCAGCTATTTTAAGACGTTATAAACGCGAAGCATCAACGTAAAAATAGTGGTTAGGGGAACCAAACATCACGATCAACAATGCAGTTACCCCTAAATTTGATTCTGAACAAGTGGCCACTATGGCTAATCGGAACTGAAAACGCTTTCTGTATCCTGAAAAGCTAAATGCGATGTGTAAAACGAAGCCCTCATGCATCAAAGTAGACACCGGAAGTTTGAAAATCAGTTAAAATCGTGTGTATTATGTTGTCAAAAGTAACAGGCGCAATGTTACTCTCTAGCTTGTTCCAAAAAATACGAGGTTGGTAGCACAGTTGTCACACTCCAGAAATCTTAAATACAGTCTAGGACTCGTGCTAGAAGAATCTAACCTGTTTCACCGGTAAACTTTCTTTAGGATGAGACTGCCTCTCACAAGCGATGTTCCATTCACTGAGGTGTTTTCTACGCATGGAAACAAAAGAATATTCCAGTTTTTTGGATTTATTTAGGTCTTCCGCATAATGAGTACGCGGCTGGCGATGACTATCAACTTTGATTAGTAGATAAGTATGTACTTTGAGGAAGGAGTTCCTGCCAGCTGTCAATCAAATGACAGCTTACGCTGGCATACTTGAACGAGTTTCACTCGTTCTCATCCCACATATCCCACCTCATATTGACGTAGTCCATGACTTACGTCAAAGCGAAAAACACTAATTCCGTTTCACTCTAATGTCATTTTGTTTTACGTTATCAGCCATATGGAAGATGCCGTTAACGGATGCAATGGGTGCGTCTCTCCCGAGAAACAAAACGATTGAAAGTATACCTTGAATACCATTCTAGATATAAGGAATAAAGTGTGGTCGCCCTCTATTATAATATGACCAAAGACTTTAGCAGCATCAGAGTTTGAGCTACCCGTGTTTCCATCTCAGTATCGAGGGGAACATTAAAATGCACTGCCGATAATGATGGTAATGAAACGTCTGCAACCAGGTTGATGAGCTCTGTATTCCCACCAGTACTCAGTAGGAAAATACCATGTATCGATCTTCTGGCAACTTGTTAATGACTAAAGCTCCTTCTCCGTCAAGCCTCACATGTCACTCAGTTGTGGGCGGATTCGGGATTCGTAGAATTTGTGTTCACATCAACCTCATTGGGACTGCACTCTGTCTGTTCTAGCGTAACTATTCTGGTCCATATCAAACCCACAAACTTTGGTACCAATCTCATTAAAACTCAACAACGTGTATTTGGTTATGCGGAGTCCTGGACCCCGAACTTCCGACATACCAGAGGAACATGTCATCATTGATCTAGTAGTCCACGTTGCATGCATCTGAGTTGTCACGTCCGAGGAGGCCAAAGCATGGACGCCAGAGTGATGTGACTGAGGATGCGCTAATAAGAACAAAACTCGAGTCCAGTGCAGCCCCGTTTGGGTGTCGGCTGATCAAAACAACCATAGCATGAGGAGAATTATTCAAACGAGAAGGATGTGAATCCGAATTTCCATAAGTGTTATGGCAACGACAGAGATATTTGTTCGACCAAATCTTGACACAAATTCAACATTGTTTGTCTTTCCGGAAACTATCTAACCCACATTACTCTTGCAGCAACTCAGATTCTATTGTATTGAAATGATTCATTTGCAAATGTAATTTGTTTTTCCTCAAAAGGCAAGCTGATTTGATCCCATTTTTAGATCGACCAAGACGTTCATTTGCAAATGAGCTTACCTGTAAAAAATGCTAATAATGCCTTCGAAATTCCATGAGTTCTGATACACCTCACGAAAAAAAATCGATCACTTGGCTTTTTGGCGCTGTCATTAACTGCGATTAACATGCGATCTCGCCCCTGGATTATAGAATATAGACCAGTATCTGACGGGGCTTTCGAGCGTAAGGAAGATGAGTTTTGAGTTCCATTATATTGATTCTGCATGCGGCTTTGACACAGTTTGTATCGTTTGGCCAACCGAGGTAATTATCCGACGGGTGACTGTTAATAGTAAGTTCATAGGATGAGAGGTGATATCTCTGGGACTCGAAAAACGGACGTTTGTCAAGTTGAATCATTTCTGACTGGGGATATTTCGCATTTTGATCCATGTACTTTTGATCACCACTACTTGTTGTTCTTACCTTTTGAAAAATAATCATGCGTTTCTACTGAATAGTTTGATGATTATCGCACACAGTTTGTAACACCGTTCTATGTCAAAAGTCTGGGGATTAATTACCCAAAGTATCTAGGCACCGTAGTCAGCTTCACTTTCGTGAACACTCTAGCGTCAGGTTGCTTTCGCACGACTTCAGTTGTCACTCAGGCCACACCGTGCACACGGTACCAGAGACTCACTCAATGACTTGTGGCGCAGGAGTGCTTCAGGTTGCCTACAGAAAAGATTCGGCCTTGTCAACCCGCGGAAACAGACCAATCGTACTGGCTACAGAAGACAGCACTAACCGGACCTACATAGGAAGGGAAGTGAGCAAACATTGTGGGGCAGCAAATTTTTACCCTTCGGACCAGTCACATATTTCGGACGCTGTTGCAAGATGATACTGTTTGTTTGGTTCCTTGTATCGTCTGCCATTTCATTGCATACACTATTTGACTGGGACGCTTCTGTTCCAGCTGTAATACTCGCTGTGGGCCACTACACGTTGAAGCCGGTGGGCAGCTTGGATAAGCCGCCATGCTGGATGTATCAAGAGTATTGAGCTGATATTACGCCTAAAATATGATGAACGAGCCTTCTTTTACCCAATCGGTTTTGCAGACTAACGACAAAATCACAGTAAGTTATCAGTGTATTGAAAATATGCACAGTGAAAGATTGGGAAAAAAGTTGCTCTCCAGCACCTAAATGAATATCTTGAATCAGCGTGCTCGGATTATGCAGGCCAAAATGATCAAACGAAATCTCGACGTGATCAGCAGCAATGCCTCAAATACTGCTAAGGCTTTTCAAAAGAAAGCGAAAATATCAGAATAACACTAGGAGTAGTCAACCTACCTCCCGACAGCTCCTCGGTTTTCAGTCACACCAGCCTTACGAAGTGGAAACTTTCTCCACCGTGCCACTAAAATGACTGCGATCTGAGGTATTTTGCGCTTACACTCATTTCGAGCGTCTACCTCTCAACCTAACCCGACCACTAGTATCGATCCAGGAAGTTTTCGACTGCCAACTGAATGTGTCATTCTGTCATCTGCGCTCGCAACTAATCTGAACAGGCTCAGCCATCGATTGATGCCGTCCTTATATCCACTGCGACGCGACTCGACAGCCTAGCCATGTAATAATTCGACTGGAATAAGCAGGCCCTACTGAACTAGCCTCCCCCTCATACCCACACCTTATTTGGACTTGACTTGCTCGCCGATCGACCTTTTTGGTGTGGCGATCGGTGTAGTTTTGTATACATGAAGACCAACTTGAGTTTGTCATAATCGATAACGCTTGCTTTTTTCCGACCTCAAGCTGAGACAGCATGTGGTCTACGATTCATTGGATTGACTTCATGGTTTGAACCATTATTTTTGACGGGAATCGGGACTCATAAGGGGCAGGTACTAGTCATACTGAGGTGCTCCATTGGGCATGTGATCATTCTTATTATTAGCACCGATTGTATCGCACTTACACTGTGAATTCGCGGGGAGTTCATCCAGAAAGTAGGTTGTGGCAGTCTTCTAAATTGCGGGAAGCAGAACGGTAAAATGGGGTTTTCAACGCTCTCATAGTGAATGTTTAAACACCAGGGAAGTAAACGAACTGACTTATGAGGGATAATTGCCCAAGTAGGAACAAACAAGTTGGCCGTTTCAAGACAAATACGGGTGACCTTGAATTAGAGGTGAGCAGCTTAACAGCTAGAAAACGACGATCTCTACTTTGCTCCGTCAGTCGTGTTCATTTGTATCGAATGCATTTTAGGACTTCACAAATAAACTTGTTCGATCTTCCGATTCACCCAAATCATGTGCCTGTGGATGCATGTGATCTTGCAGCAAAAGGGCCCAACACAACAGACATCAGCGCTAAAGTCAGTCACTTCCCAGACTTGTGCCACGATATTGTTCACTTTCTGGACAAGTTTTGTTTGGCTACCCTAAAGTTACTACCATCATATAGTGAAAATTCTTCGAACAACATACAGGATAAGCACGCACGCTTTATTTCTCACTTGTCAATCTAACTGGTAGTCCGCCACACACGGGGAACGAAATTTCGCCCATTGTGGTATTTCAACAATGGGCAGCAAAATGCTGCGAATCTGTTCGACTGGTATGTGAAAAGCTGGCACTAAACACTGACGCGTATTTCGATACTATACCTTAGGAAGCTTAGTGTTGTTCAGGATGAGCGCACGAAAGATAGGCACAAAATGTTACTTTAATACAGACTGTTTCGGTACGAAAGCTGAAACTTCGCGTGTGCTCATAGGCCTACCTACAGTGGGCCATCTATGCGGGACCCTCCACAGTGGTCAGTCTTAGCAGAAGTTAACGAATTCCTTCTTTATCAGCCCCAATACTGTGATGAAAAGCTACACCCTACGGAAACCAAATAACTCATTTTCCATTGTGCTATTTAGCACACAGGCTTGCGAAGCTAGAGGCTATCTTTAATATATCTCTTTATAGAAGCTTTCCATCAATTTAGAAACGTTCGCAATCAAATTGTCAGTTCCGCAGGTAGCGGAATTGAGAGATGAATTTGGATATTGGCTTCCCTGATGAGCCTCACTGGTTCCGTCGGTCAATTACAATTGTCTTGTACTTGATGGATACCTGTAGGCTTACCTACAAAGACACTGCACAAGTTATTTGTCCAAGAGCCAGCACCTTCTCTGAACGGGTTATTCGGCCCCCTCAGCACATTTTATTGTCATGTCACGGACACAGTCTATTCATCACTACTGATGGTAGGGTTGTTATTGAAGACAACATCCTGAACATGGTGCTTCCCATGTACTTCTGGCACAGTTGCTCCATCCGGCATCCAACACCCATCAGCAGCCATTATTTGCTGTCTGCATGCAATAGCTTCCACATTACGGTAGGTCGCTTGGGTAGTCACAATAAGCCAGTTGTTGGCCGAGCTAAAATGATAAAACTACGAAAAATAACATAAACCGTTCTGTTTTTTCTTCGCTAGAGGGATCTGCTAGCGCAGTTTTATCACTTCATCTTTAGCAAACTATATGAGATACAGATGCCGATGTTGTGCCAGACATCCCCAACAGTTGTTGTACCGTTTTTCGCTTATCGTGGATTTTTCACTATTGGACACCAAGCTGGCTTTTTGAATGATAATGATGATGTCAACAGATGGGACCCGTGTGATAGTACGTTTCCAAATCGTGAAAACCCTCATCTTATTTGAACATCAGTCTGGCCCCACGCAGCGCACGCGGAGTTCAACATAATTTCATGCAGAAAAATATGATTTCAGTAATATGAGCTGTAAAATTACCCTCCAGAATTTGTTTCGGCGAAGGGCGGCTGATCACCAGTGTGATTAACTCGAACATAGATGCGATATAGCGCCATTCATCTCTCAAGCACAGAATTCACATCAAGTGGTCAAGTGTTGATTGGCAGTTCTTGTTTATACTCTTTTATACTGAAAGCACAAGTTACTTTGTTTTTTCTCCATAGGGTTTAAATGTATGTTGAACCATTCAGTAAACTACATAACGAACAACCCGGAAGTTTTGGAAATGAAGTGTAGACCGGCGCCATTTGCTCCACAGCACAATAAAACTCACTCTCCAGCTGGAATGAGTTCGGCGACCACACAAGAGCGTTGCAACTACCAAGAGCAATAAAAAGCACCGTTGATATACCGAGCTTATCTACTGCATACTCGTGATGGGTCATAATCAAACCCTGTAGGTCATGTCCGAAGGTTTGCGAAGGCCGAATTAGGTTCCAACGTAACATAGCCTTGATACACGGGTCACAGTGTAGATTAAATAGGCTATATATGTAGTGAGATAAAGGATGAAACCGGCATGAATAAGTGGTTAATCCTTTAATTGAAAGACAGTGAACATGGACCTAAATTTTCGTGTCATCAATTTCAGTAAATTCTCATCATATTATTGTTCGGTAGCCTGTGACGGGCCCGCATCCGAGCTAAACAAATGCCTTTGCCACAAGGCAAACCGCTCAGTGAGTTGTGTGAAAAAAGATACCACTGTTTAGCCGCAGTACGCGTGCAAATGATGTGCGCCAAAAGAGACATTGCTCACGAAATGCTAAAAATGTGCTCAGGCTGTTCACCATTTGTGCGCACATGGAAGTGAGTAGCAGAGGGTAGAAGATTCGTCCGGTTGCTTGGTTTGCTTTACTTTTTAACTGAGGGTCCTTTGAGACCTTGTCGTGCCGGAGAGCTTGCGCTTTGCCGGGCTTGAAGGTAGAGGTACCTTGATCAAACATTTGTCATTTTGAAGCATGACTTTCCAGATTCTCTTGCTTCCAAGTTTACTTCAGTGAGAGCTGGTTTACTGAAATATGACAGATGCATAACTGGTGTACTTGATCAGAATCAGCTCATTTTAGCACCATTTCGAATATTTGCGCACAGTATGGAGTAAAATAGCTTTTGCGCTCGGCAATGCGCGTGATCGTATCTTGGTTTTCGCAGTACCCACTTGTTATCTAGCAGCGTTATGACCTAAGTGGTTCATGACGATAAAACACGCAACAACCCAGGTTTGCACCATAGATCTAAGCGCACTGTGGTTAGACTATGGTATGGTTCAAAACCAGTAATTGGAAACTACTAGCTGTCTGGTTTGAGTCACAGAAGGCTTCAATCAAGTAGTTAGGTAACGGAGACGGTCAGATATGTAATTCTGTCTCCCTCTGCCCAGGATGACCACCAAAAAAGGTCCAGTAAATTTATTTGTATTAGAGACCCAGTTGCATCATGGAGGAAGGAACAGCCTAACTCTGCGAAGTTCGAGCCCAGCCACGCTGTTCACTTGGTGAGGGAGTCGGTACAAATGGTGCTGTTAGGTAGTCAGGGTCTTGTGTGTGTACTCACCATTCGAATGCGGAAACCACATCCAATTGCATCACAAGTTGGAGGATTCGTAAGCAATTTTGGCAGCCGGTGTAAAATCAGAAGTGCTCAATCACGGTCCTCAGGGTTGTTTTATCCAACCAGTTGTTAACTGGGGAAAAAATCACGGATTCTTCACAAGCCATTCTGGAACGATGACTTTACTATAGGTTCCAAGTTTTTTTAAGTTGGTTGAATAAGGTGAAATTTTTTAAAGGACCATTATTAGGGCACTAGATAAGAATGTCTGAATAGAAGAAGATAAACCGAGTGGACACGGGCACTGCGTTAGTTGCGGGCATCTTCGCCCAGCACTATTTGTCACTAGATTACATCAGTCACTGCTAGTCATGCTTCACCTCCACAGTCTATCGAGAAAGTAACCTGAAGACGCACTAGACCAGGCTATTGGTCGATTTAATTTGGGATTCACGAGCTACAGACTACAAAGAAAACGACAACGACGTCTGAAAAGCGGACACGAAGCGAAAGGTATCATCATTGCATGACACCAAATCGAAGACAGATAAGGATAATAACAAAGGATGATTGGAATCGACTAGAGACGCCTGTTCAAGTTTACTTGGTCTGCTGTAGCCAGAGTGAAAGGCAGTCTGAATGCTGATGTCACGTGACCACCGGTGTCACGAGGTTACCTGGCTTTGTGTTACACATGGTCGTGCATGTGGTCTGGTACTGCCACGGTACCAAACCCAGAATAGCGGAGGGCTGACCTCCCCATCCAATGTGTAAACCTTTGTGCAAACATGCTCAAGCTCCGATAACACCAACTTCTCTGTGTAGCGAGTGATGAAGAACGTAGTGCGTTAGGACGTGAACAAGTCATTCGGAAACTCGTCTCCATCGTAAAAATAGCCATTTCCACTGGTGAATTTGGCCCGACCTCATGTATCTCTTCACTGCTAGTTTGAGCTCTTGCTTCAGGATCTCGATGTTGTCCACAGTCTGTTCTTTAAGTTGGAGAGTTCGATTGCGAAATTTTCACCAGTAAACTTTACTGCAGCTTGCACATATGTACCGATTTTCATTGTTGACTCACTGCACTAATATTCGCTGGCTCAGCTTCGACTAATTTAAGTCACATTCGACGAACTTCATGATGAAAGTAAGGCTTCACTGCACTCACAGAAAGATTTAATAAGTTAATTGTATACGTGTCATAAAATGACGTGCACACTAACTTATGGAGTTTCTTCACAGCAATGACTGACCACATCGATCGGCAAGAGTCTTCTTACTTGGGTAGATGCTCTATAGCTCGTCCATCGTCTGAGTATAAACGATTGTGTTCGTAATAGTGACGCATATCCTCTGATTGTGAAGGGAAACGTATGGGTGCTGGTAGAACTGGCTAAAGGCAGTCAGTATGGCGGTAAGCTCAATCTGGAGGGATACGTTTAAAGTTTCACGTGGATTAGGCATTTGACCCTGGGGGAGGGGCAAGTTCTCCTGACCATTGAGTTGGGATGATCATGAAATAATTATGTGAACGCTTCTACCCAACCTTCATCACCCATTAAAATTTCATCTTATCCGGCTTTTTGAGTGGACCACATAAACTAATGAGCTTGTCTGATGATCTAATGTAAAATAGTGGCGATCGATCTCTGTTACTCCAGCCTTCTCATCAAACGGTTTCGAAGCAAATCATAGTGCCCAATCTGGTCCTTATTACTAGATTTATGGATTGCCTAAATTTATATTCCAATATTAGTTTACGGGTGTCATTTTCTTCGAGGATTTAAACTGATTCAGTCGTGCGTCATGTAAGTCGGGCTTCGCCTCCACAGTCTAACTGGGAGGCTTGAATGTAAACTGCTCATTTGCTTGCATTGATCATTAAAGTGGTGTCTGTCCTCCACATATTATTTGTAGAGTATATTGGCCGATAAGGGATGCAATACCGCAAGTGCCGAACGTTGTTCTAATTTATGTGGCTCATTTCATAGAGGAATAATGCTGGTGTATATTGTGAAGCTAAAGTACTCACAGTGGGTTGACACGGGGAAAGTAAACTGCCTGAATGAGTGGTTGTATACAAACTAACCTTAAAATGAGCTTGTGGTCACATTTCGAGTGGTGCGGGTGTTAAAAAAGACCTGTGGTAACCAAGTTGAATACGCTTCATCTGTTGGTTGCATAGCTAAAGAGTTCAATACCATGCCTGAGGTAACTAGCTTGGAGCACCTGATTCCCATAATCGAATTGAATAGAGTACACTGAGTTGGAGTTTTGCACGATGTTTCGGGTTCGTCAGGGAGTATTGTAATGACTAACAAAAAACGATGGATAGATAGAACGGAAATCGACGCGAAAAAGCTTGTTGTCTAGCAAGTTTTATTGTTGCTTCATCGTTACTCGCCTAGTATCGACATATTGTTTTAAAGCCTTGGCGACGATGCTTATCCAAATAAGTTTTGCAGTAATAAACCAATGATAGTAGCAATATTAGCAATAAATGATAGTAATAATAGTAAAATAATAATGGCAAAAACAATGAGAGTTGAATAAAGACTGAGACGAGGGGGACACATTCCACTGGTAATCTAAGCTTGCGATGACTAAAGTGGAATTTCGTGTAACAACCATCCAGATGTAATACGAACGGGCTGCCGCGTGCCTTTGTTACTTGCAGTTCCAGTAATGTATTGATTCTGGGTTTACAACTTTCCTCCCTTGAAATTTCCTCTTGAAGGTTAGTGATATCGGTTGGCGCCATTCGGACTGCTTCCGAATTGAATTAGGTCAAATTTCCTTTGTGTTTCTTCTTTGAATTCTGCTTTAGAATGTTCCCAAAAAACGTTCGAATACACTTAATTAACTTCTGACTCAAATAATAAAAATTGGCAACTGATTAAAAAACGAATGATGGTGACGTAGTGGAACATATTGTGCCCTTATTCAGGCATGTCAACATTAGGTGGTCTACTCTTTCACCACAACTAAGTTGTTAAACATGACTGTCATTCTAGCCAACCGCTGATTAAATCAGACATTCAATTAAATCCT